GATGGATGGGGCCATGTATCGCGATATCTTGGCCAACAACCTCCTTCCCTCAGTAAGAGCATTGAAGATGGGTCGTGGCTGGGTCTTCCAGCATGACAACGACCCGAAACACACAGCCAGGGCAACTAAGGAGTGGCTCCGTAAGAAGCATCTCAAGGTCCTGGAGTAGCCTAGCCAGTCTCCAGACCTGAACCCAATAGAAAATCTTTGGAGGGAGCTGAAAGTCCGTATTGCCCAGCGACAGCCCCGAAACCGAAGGATCTGGAGAAGGTCTGTATGGAGGAGTGGGCCAAAATCCCTGCTGCAGTGTGTGCAAACCTGGTCAAGACCTACAGGAAACGTATGATCTCTGTAATTGCAAACAAAGGTTTCTGTACCAAATATCAAGTTCTGCTTTTCTGATGTATCAAATACTTATGTCATGCAATAAAATGCAAATTAATTACTTAAAAATCATACAATGTGATTTTCTGGATTTTTGTTACAAAAATTACAGACCTCTACATGCTTTGTAAGTAGGAAAACCTGCAAAATCGGCAGTGTATCAAATACTTGTTCTCCCCACTGTAGATGTCCTAACCGACTTGCCAAAACTATAGTTTGTTAACAAGAAATGTGTGGAGTGGTTGAAAAACGAGTTTGAATGACTCCAACCTAAGTGTATGTAAACTTCCGACTTCAACTGTATATACATGTAGGTAAAAAGCAACAATAAAATAACAATAGCGGTTATATACAGGGGGCACCGGTACCAAGCCAATGTGTGGGGATACAGGTTAGTCGAGGTAACTGAGGTAATATGTACATGTAGGTAGGGGTAAAGTGACTATGAATAGATCATAAACAGTTAGTAGCAGCAGCGTAAAAAAAGGGTGTCAATGCAAATAGTCCGGGTAGCCATTTGATGAACTGTTCAGCAGTCTTATGGCTTGGGGGTAGAAGCTGTTAATGAGCCTTTTGGACCTAGACTTGGTGCTCTGTCCCCCTTTTCCTGTAGTCCACAATCATCTCTTTTGTCTTGTTCACGTTGAGGGAGAGGTTGTCCTGGCACCACACTGCCAGGTGAAGGCATTTAGCTCGTTTGTGAAGGCATTTAGCTCGTCTGGTAGGCTCGCGTCACTGTGCAGCTCGCGGCTGGGTTTCCCTTTGTAATCCGTAATAGTTTGCAAGCCCTGCCACATCCGACGAGCGTCAGATCCGGTGTAGTAGGATTCAACCTTAGTCCTGTATTGATGCTTTGCCTGTTTGATGGTTTGTCGGAGGTCATAGTGGGATTAGTGTCCCTCTCCTTGAAAGCGGTAGCTCTAGCCTTTAGCTCAGTGCGGATGTTGCCTGTAATCCATGGCTTCCAGTTGGGATATGTAAGTACGGTCACTGTGGGGATGACGTCGTCGATGCACTTATTGATGAAGCCGGTGACTGTGGTATACTCCTCAATGCCATTGGATGAATCCTGGAACATATTCCAGTCTGTGCTAGCAAAACAGTCTTCAGACCACTTCCGTATTGAGCGAGTCACTGATAGTTCCTGCTTGAGTTTTTGCTTGTAAGCAGGAGTCAGGAGAAAATAATTATGGTCAGATATTCGAAATGGAGGGCGAGGGAGAGTTTTGTATGCGTCTCTGTGTGTGGAGTAAAGGTGGTCTCAAGTTTTTTTTCCTGCATTGATTTGCGGTGGTAAATAGACAGCTATTAAAAATATATATGAAAACTCTCTTGGTAAATAATGTGGTCTACAGCTTATCATGAGGTACTCTACCTCAGGCAAGAAAAACCTTGAGACTTCCTTAATATTAGAGATCGCGCACTAGCTGTTGTTGACAAGATAGTAGGTTGCTGTTCTGTCTTGCCGATGCACGGAAAACCCAGCCAACTGTAAATTATCCATGTCCTTGTTCAGCCACGACTCGGTGAACCATAGGATATTACAGTTTTTAATGTCTCGTTGGTAGGATAGTCTCGAATGGAGCTCATCCTGTTTATTCTCCAGTGATTGTATGTTCGCCAATAGGACGGATGGTAAAGGCGGATTATCCACTCGCCGACTAATTCTCACCAATCACCCATATGTCGGCTTAATCGCAAATTACCTTTAAATGTTTACCAAATGTTTATGTTATGCTCTTCTCTTTTACTCCTTGTACCTTTAAATGGGTTTATATCTTGGGAGACTATTGATGGTTGGCATTATTTGAAAGTTAATATTTCCTAACATTATTGAGTTCAGATCAGTGCAGTAAGCATCCACTTGAGGGTGCTATTGGCCCGCATTTTCTAATTTGTAGCCTGCCATTCTAAAATCAAAGTTAGTTAAAAACATGACCTAATCATTTTATTTGCTTGAGAGATCTGTATGCTAACCTCCTCTCCCAAATTATTATTTGGTTTGAATGTGTTCTGGTTGAATATGAGTACATGTCTTCAACAATTTGTCCAATCATGGCATCTTGAAATAAAAGTGATTGTGCTGTCTTCTCATGGGATCGTTCAATGTCTGAAAAATGTCCATTCAATTAAGGTCTGAAATGTTACAGATTGCGCGATAGAAACGTAAAGATTGCGCGACACCTTGTATACTCAGTGTATATTCCTAATTTAATGGTTAACAAACTATCTAATATTGTTCATAAGTAGACGTCAAATGACCTATTACCTGAAAATTCTGGAATACAGTTAAAATGTGTAGTCAATGAGCAATTCAATCTTAAATAAGAATGTAATTAATTTATCTTTATTAATCTATTATAATTGTCCGTCAAAACAAATCAACAATAAAACCTTATATACAAATCGTAGCTAAGCTGACAGGCAGTGTAATAGGCACATGCTAGTCCAAAGACAACCATACCATTTTCATTACATACAGGCTATATAAACATTCATGGAGAAAGATGACAATTGTACACCCATCAATTTAAGAAACAGAAAAAGATTCAATCGCCAGACTAAGTACTCTATTCAATCTGTAAAGCTGAAGTGTTACATATTCTGCGATAGAAATGTAAAGGTAATTTCCGATTGAGCCGACACATCGTGAATGCAGTCTCCAAAAATGCAGGAACGTTGCCTTTACATTTCAGTCACGTTGTAAAGCTGAACTTCCGCAATGCGGATTGAATAGAGCCGTAAGTCCTCTCCATGACAAACTTACATGCTAAAAATACGTTTCACGAGGAATTGATATTTCTTAAGTTAAGTATATGATTTCCCTGTGCTTTGTCAAATGGTTGCTTTGTCTGTCTGTTTGTCTGTCTGTCTGTCTTTCTGAACCTCTTGGCTTAGCTGCAAATGGACATTGCAGAGTTGGCTTTTACAAATTTATACTTTATTTTCAAAGAATGGCATGGAATGGATAAGATAATTGAGTATTAATCTTTGGTATATTAGATAACATTAAACAGTCATCATCCAGAAGAGGTATGGCACCTTCGGTAGGGTTGGAAGTATTTTGTTTAGATTGACTGCATAAGTGTGTTTGTTGCAAATCAATAGAAGATTAAATTAAATTATTTAGGACACATATCATGGTTATGGTTAATCAAATGTTATGGTAATATAAGAAAATGGTTGCTATCTCCATCTTCATTTTTAGATAATTGTCGCTGGTAGGTTTTGCTCAAATCCTCTCCCATGTCTTTCTTTTAGGTCTCAGCTCATAATATTGTGATTGGACACTTGACTGATTTGTATCTTAATCTACAATATCAATTTGATTAGGTATAACTGAACTGACCAATAAATACTGTAGGTCACAAATTATAGGTAACAATATATATATATATGTAACAATATATATATATATATATATATATATATATATATATATATATATATATTTAGACTATTAATGAATCAATAACTTGCTGAATGAGACAGAGCTACTATTGGGGCCATAGTTATAATAGAAATGTACAATGTATCAAAAAAGCCATGTGAAAAGATCAAGTCAAGGTAGGATTTATCTTTAATAACTTGCTGGTAGTGTCCAATCCTCATTCATAATCCTTCTTCTAGAAGGTTTCTTATCTTAACAATTGCTTCTATCCCATTCCTAATAAGAAAAGTGAGCACACAACAAACAAATAAACAAAAATCATCTCCCATGTAAGGACTAAATGCACTTAGATCACCTAGGCCATGGATGGGCAACTTTGATGGGGGTGGGGGCCACAAAAAAACAGAACTCATTATGAGGGATGGCAGTTGCTCGCCGGTCACACCCACCACATTGTGAGCAAAACATATTAGCAGCCCCCCTCTTGACAGCGGAGAGACGATTTTTTAAAAGTTTTTAATTTTGTGCAATTCTACACATTCTGCCATGGGGCATAGAGAAAATGTTGCAGTTTTAAAGAAAGTTTGCTGCAATTCTACACATTTTGCCATGGGGCGGAGAGAAGATTTTGCAATATTGTAACACATTTCCTGCAATTCTACTCATTTTGCCATGGGCGGAGAGGAAAATTAGCTGTTTTACAGCAACATTTTTGTAATTCTACACATTTTGCCGTAGGCTGGAGAGAAATGTTTGCAGTATTTAATATGATATCTGACTGAGACTGACTAACAAAATCAATGGGGGCCCCCGGCCGGTAATTCAACCATGATTACTAGTTTAGATAGCTGATCGCTGGACTAATTTACCAATCTAAAACATTTTAGCTGATATGGGCTAATTGACATAACAAGAGAAAAACTGCTGATGCTGAGGCCACCAGTTGCCCATCCCTGACCAAGTCATTATTTTCAGTGCAACGCTCTAAAGTTCCAAAGTGGGATACCTTTCACATGTAAAAGTCCCTGTGTGAAAGGGTGAAAGCACATGTAATATTTCCAGTAACAATTGCGATTCCCTGCTGATACAAAGATTGGTCCCTTATTCTTTGCTTTTGTATGGTGGTGAATCGTCACCGCCCTCAACCCAATTGGTCCGTTGGACAGGAAGTGGCATCACCAGGCAGGAACTGGCTAAAGGCATGATGGGATGGTTATAGCGCCCACTAGAGGTAGTCCAGCTCCAGTGCATGACTTAGAGCCTCCAGGTCAGGCCGACACGACACTCTCCAGAAAGGCATGTTCTTCTGCAGGACACAAATAGACATGTTTAAAACATTGAACATTGACTAAACTAGCTACTGCAAGGTACAAAAGGACATGTTTAAAATGTGGAGCACTGGCTAAACTAGATACTGAAAGACACCAACAGAAATGTTTTAAATGCTGAACACTGGCTAAACTAGGTAGCTAATGTAACTAGATGAGCACTGGCTAAAATAGCTAGCTAATGTAACTAGCTGAACACTGACTAATGTAACTAGCTAGCTATTATTGTTCGGTTAACCACACTCAAGTTGCCTAAGCTTGGCGAGCTAATACAGTCTTAGGCCATGTTGGAGAGAGTTCAGTCAAACTAATACCAAACACAATTTCATCCTGCAGGATATAAACATTATTTTGTTTTTTCAAATAATAACAAGCAAACGCGTCAAATAATATGTATGGGTGCATATTCGATTTCATCTGACTTCCTGGCACTAGCATGAAAAATAAGGCAGGGGGTAATATCTTGTGTACCCCCACCCCTTTTCCTGGTTACATGTGAGTCTCACCTTCTTGGCTACAGACTCCTCCTCCACTCCGTCCCCTATGACCACGTACACTGCTCGCCGGCCGAACCTCTGGGCCACACGCTCAAAGCAGCTCTCTTTCCCTGGAAAATAAGAAAATAAGTGTTAAGTGTTTAAAAGTGTTAAAAGTAACAGTTAATAAATAAGTGTTAAAAATATGTAAGTGTTCAAATTGTTTACAAATTAAGCGTTAAAAGTGTTAAACGTAAGTGTTAACAAATAAGTGTTTAAATAACACTTTTAATAAAAATGTCACAAACGTAAACAAGGATTGCACAAAAACAAAGTCTGCTAGTACTGGCTTGTGCACAAATCGTAGTACACGACAGAAACTGTTACCCAACCACGGTGCGAAAACAATCAGCCCAACAGTAAATATAATATTCCTTCCGTGAGACGATGAGTTGCTCTTTTTAACTCTAACAAGTGTTCTACGCCATATTGAGTGCTGTGTGTTGCCTCACCTGTCTTGGTGGCACTGTAGATGTTCTCTATGGGGAACGCTGAGCCCAGTCCGTAGAGCAGGACCTTGGACAGGGCTGGGATCAGCTGGGTGGTGGTCACCAGCACATTCACACAGTTTGGTCTGGAAACAGAGAAATGTCAACACATGATGTCAATATGTGAGTCATGTTCAAACAAGTAAGATAATTGCATTTTGTCAGTTTGAATGGGACAAAAAAAGAGTGACAACAAAGGAAAAAATACCAGCCAACGGGTATTTCAGCTCCCGATCTTAGTCTTGTCAATATTTCCTGGTTGTGAATATACCGTAGCTCTATAGCGCTCCAGGTTCAATTTCTATACTTTTTTATTATATTTATTAACCATGCAAAACATGAATGGTCAATACATTTGGAGTACTGTCCATTTCATTTTTATGGATTACCTACGCTAATATCACTTTACATTGTTTAGTATTTTCTGAATAGTTCCACCATAGAGTAGCTAGGCAGTTGAGAAGGGGTGTGTCCTGACCTGGAGTTAATCAGGGCCAGGGCCTTGAGAGCCTGGGTCAGCCACAGATCTGTCAGGACCTCCATCTCCCTCCGCAGCTGCAGCCATTCCTCCCGCTTGGGACTGCCCACCAAACCTGACACAACCACAACCACAATCACACACTAACACATTATTCATCATAGATTGGTATACAAAAACAAAACACAAATTGATAGCTGAGCAGTATAAAAAGATGCAACGTTCGTTATTTATTATGATCATGATTATACAGAAAGGACAAATTAAATGTACATTGTGATTTGTATATCAGTTAACCGCTAGAGAATATTACACAAACACACACACACACACTTTCTAGCTCCTGTCAGAACCCACCTCCCACGTTGTTCTTGTAGGTGTTGTAGATCTCCTTTACTCTCCGGTAGCGGAAGGCTAGTTTCCTCATCCAGTCCACCCCACCATGGACACCTGAGCCCAGGCACAGAGTACCGGCACCCGCAGGGCTCTGAAACCCGTCTGTGCCAAAGTTATACATGCTGCAAGACAACAACCAGGAGAGAGCTAAACATGAGAGAGAGAGAAGCATGCCAATGGGCTAACGTCTAAACAATGTACACATTTAGTTGATGTTTGGTGGGATTTGACCAGTGCCTAAGACCAGAACCTGTAGATACATGGAGTAGGCCTAGTATAATATCATAACTGGAGTAGTGTAAAGAATAATGGATTAATGCATTATGCAAAAACAATTATCCAAAAGTTAAAGACCAATAATAAAAAGAAAGGTACCAACCATGAGCCTTTGGCCTTATAAGACCAATAGCTAACAGTATAATTGACACAATAAATAAAACAAATTAAATACACAATACATCAATATTATAAGTGTGTTATATCTAAGTGGGAGAACATGCAGTTTGCACATCCAATGAGGTTCATCAATATTTTTGTGTGGAAAAGAGCAACATGCCGAAAGCACTTAAAAACGGTAAGGAATGCACATAAGCATTTGAGCAACATCTTGCACTTTCTCAACTATTCCTTTGAAATCTATCCTAAAATTCTTCATCAATTTATGTAGTAAAATGTCTGGAACAAGGGAGACAGAGAGAATGACAGAGTACTATTCTGATTAGATGTTGAAGAATGATGATACTGTTATTATATTATTATATTGCCAAAGAGAGGGGGGAGAGAGAGCGAGAGACGCATACACATGCACGCATGTACGCACACAGACAAACACACACAAACAGAAAGGGACGGAGAGAGAGCGAGAAAGAGAGAGAGAGACAGCCCACTGGGCACCGATGTCAATTCAACGTCTATTCCACGTTGGTTCAACGTAATGTCATTGAAATGACGAGGAAACAACGTTGATTAAACCAGTGTGTGCCCAGTGGGAGACGTTTTCAAGAAAGAGAGCAGGACTTATTTTCAATATACCCCCCACCCCCTCTTTTACTAAACCCACTCAGTGCTGGTTTAACTGTGGGGCCGAGTTGAGTTCAAGAGAAAAAGCTGTACAGTACCTCAGGTCCTGCCCATTGTCGTCTGACGCCACGTCATCAATATGAACTTGGTCACATTCCTGGGAAAGAAAGTGGATATATTAGAGAGCGAGATCCGTTTCAGAGCTGTGCATGGGCAGGTTTCTTCTTAAGGGAGCCTCGGGGAGCGATAGAACAAAATAAAAAAAAATAACATTTAAAACAAAAGATAACAGGGAGGCGGAAATAGGCTGCTGGGACATCCAGGCGCCAGAAGAAAAAAAGAAACTTGGAATCTGGCGTACCAGCTCTACCTAACGCCACCACACTCCACTAATAAACCCCACTAAGTGACGCATTATCAACACCTTTTGCCAACTGCCAAAGAACCTTCAGATATATGCCCATTAAAAACAGGATCCACTGAACAGTATTTTGTGAAGTATTCATGTATTATTTTTAAAGTATTAGGTTTTCTGGACTTTTGATATATTGGTAGCTAGGTCTATAGTAGATATAAAGCAGGGTAGCGAACTACTGTGCAAAAAGTTGCTTCCTCAAACAAATCCTAAAAATGAATTTCCCATGATGCTACTATACAATACACGCACTATCCTCCCACCTCCTCCCCACCAAATCCCTCTGAATCTAACTTCTGATCTGCTATTCTCATTTCTTCCCTTCTTTTATCCCCTGACACCTACTTCAGTAACTACTGACTTATCTCTTCTCTCACACAGCTACACCGGACTGACAGGCCGCACTATCGCCTTTCAACTGGCCTGAGACACAGGAAGACGCTAACTCATCACACTCTTACATATCAGCATCCCTCATTCCCCCAATGCTCCCCAATGCTCCACTAACGCTTTCCCAATGCTGCGACCCAGCTCCCACAGACACAGAGGGAATCGATAACACGACCCACAGAACCCAATAGGCTAAACTAGGGTTTTATTAGGCAGCTCCAGACCCCACAGCAGTCATTTCAACACCTCTCCAACTAAAGTGATTTAATTACATGAATTGGCATGCAAGGACATGTACATATCTGCCTTGTTTCGATGATGGCTATAGAGCTACATGTGCAAAATTAACAGTGACATATGGCAGATTTGAGGCTATTCTCATAGCACAAGACCACCACATTGTTGGAGCTACTTAAACTAGCCTCCATTTCTTCTAAAAGCATGTTTCTCCATAACCTTGGTATCGTAGAGCTTTTCCTAGCTTGTATCTCTTCATCGCCTACAGGTTACTCAGCCTGTGGCATCTATTAGCGCTCTATTAGCTGCTGACAAACCCGAGGGAAAATTCCTTCATAAATCAACCACATCATATGACTAACAAAGATGGCCCCCACTATAGGCCTACTGTATGCATGTGGAACTAACAACAGGCTGACAAAAAGAAGGAACTTAAAAAGCGGGTTTGAAAACAGCTTTTTCTGCCTTCCTCCCCTCAGCTGTTCCTCCTCCCCACAATTAATTTCCCTTTCAGAGACAGACACACACCTATAATTAACAACTCACAGTGTTCCTTCTCACCACAAAACAAAGTTAAGCCTGATCTTTTTCAGAACAAGGCCGTGGAATGCACAGAGAAAAGCCTACCTGTTGTTCATGCTGTTAAAAATACTCAAGTTTAACCCTAGCCCATTTAAACAATTAGGCTTTCAACTCAAATCTTTTGAGAATATGACAGAGTAACCCTAACAATATGAAAGGGAATATTTATAGAACGTGATGTAATATTGTCATGAGGGATGTCACATAACTCCAGGGAAAACTCCTGGCCCTACTGATAGTATCAAATGAGGATGATGGATGATGTTTGACGGATAATGGAAAATAAACAAGAGTATAGATGATGGATATAAGTGATGTTATGGATGATGCATTATAAACAAGAGGATGGATGATGTATGTATGATTGATGATGGATAATAAGCACAAATATGGATGATACATTATAAACACAAGTGTGAATGTTAGATGATGCATGATGGATAATATGCAACAGTATGGATAACGGAGGATGGATAATGAGTGAAGGAATGGATAAAATATTATCTAATCCATTAGGTAAATAAGTCTCACCTCCAGGTCGTTGAAAAATAGCCGTGAGTCGGCCAAGTTGAAGATCATCTCTTCCATCCACAGCCCCAGCGACACTGCCTTGGATGAGTCCTGACAGGAGACACAAAGACATTACAAAGGTCAATACAGGGGATGTACTCTCATTACACTACTTCCACACTTAGTTTTTACCTTCTCTCCCATTGACATCAATGCATAACTTTAGACTAAAGTGGAAGTTAGGTTTCACCCCTTCATGAACCACTTGTTTACATGTGTTTAAGAGGACATACTCTAATAACATTACTTCCATAGGTAATTGTTCATCTCAAGAAAGAAAAAAGGTTATCTCTCTTGATGTTATTGGGTATAAAACAGTGGAGGCTCCTCAGAGGAGGAAAGGGAGGACCATCCTCCTCAGTGATTTTTCAGAAAAATATATATTTTTAAACATTTAAGTTATCCTTTTTTGATAAAACTACACTAAATATAATCACGTCACCAAGTAATTGATTAAAACATACTATTTTGTAATGAAGGTCTACAGTAGCCTCAACAGCACTCTATAGATTAGCACCATGGTGTAGCCGGAGGACAGCTAGCTTCCGTCCTCCTCTGGGTACACTGACTTCAATACAAAACCTAGGAGGCTCATGGTTCTCACCCCCTTCCATAGACTTACACAGTAATTATGACAACTTCCGGAGGACGTCCTCCAACCTATCAGAGCTCTTGCAGCATGAACTGACATGTTGTCCACCCAATCAAAGGATCAGAGAATGAATCTAGAACTGAAAGCATAAGATACAGCTAGCTAGCACTGCCGTGCATAACATGTGGTGAGTAGTTGACTCAAAGAGAGAGAAAGACAATAGTTGAACAGTTTTGAACAGACTAATTTCTTCCAAAATGAAGGAGAATCAAGAGAGATTTCATGATTTTTTTTCACTTTCAGTTTCACTTACTTAGCAACCAAATGCAGCTAGCTAGTTTAGCCTACTCAAACACCCTGCTCAAACAGAGGTATGCTATGTTAGCTAGCTGGCTATGACTATCTAACACAACACTGGAACTCTTCCAAGTCAAGGTAAGCTTTTGGTTTTACTAATTTATTGCCACCGGGGCCCGCCGGTGTAAGAGCTAAACTGCTTACTGTTACTGACTGTAACATTACAGCATGATTGTAGCAGGTTTACTAATGCGCTAGTTCTATTAGCTATGTTGACTATGACGTTACTTTAGCTAATATGGTGACAACGATGTAGGCTGTGTGTAGTAGTTATGGTTTGGCTTGGAAAGGTTTTTTCGCCTGGTCACATACAGTTGATGTGTTGTGCATTGAGGTCCACAAGCGACGAAGGGAAAAGGTGAGAGGAGAGCGCATAGATGCGAGAAGGAATACAACGTGGCTGTTATGAAAGTGAACTGTGTTTATGCGTGATCAGGGGTTTATTAATTCTGCCTATTCTGTTGAAAAACGTTTCTTTAAACGGGACAAAACGGGGATAAACATACCTGAATATGTCCAATAGATACTCTCGTTTGCAACTGTTGGACTAATGATTACACTCTCGTTTGCAGCTGTTGGACTAATGATTACACCCTATATCAGCTAGATGCAAGCAAGAGTGTGCAAGGCGGTATTGAATGTGTCACACCAGATGCCGTTCCAAACTCCAACCCCCCTAACAGTAATTTTTTCTCCCTGTCCAAACAGCCTTCTAAAGACACTGGCAGCCCTTCTCTTAGATTGACAGGACAGGTTCTATCACCTGAGCAGGAAGTCTGATTACCTTTCTGTCAATCATTCTTTCCACCAAACTGCACCCTGCTCTTTCTCTCTTTCTCTTTCTGTCTCTTTCTATCTGTATCGCTCTCTTTCTGTCACACACACACAACACACACTCGCACATGTACAAACGCACGAGCACACACACACACGCACACAAGCACACACACAGTTATTGAAGAATTCAGGAATGAAGAAGAGACACTTTTCTAATAATGGGAGAATTACAAATCTTCCGCAGACAACAGAGAAACCACAGTCTGTAAGAAAACAGTCCAGTGCATTGTTGTTGTGGGGAGTGGCTGGGCACCAGCAGGGCAGGTGGCTGTGTGCTGTACTGTAATGACAATGTGGCTGTAGCGACGGTTCTACAACTTGGCAGTGTGTCAAAAATGGAGTAGTGAGGCGTCAGCCAAAGGTGAGTGTTAGATTTTTTGAAAAATGACAGCCTTCCTCCCACCTCCAATTGATCCACAGCAAAGTGGATTTGGTGAATGAGGAAGGGGGGCAGAAAGAGAGTGTTGGGATGAGGAGAGGGAGGGGGTGGAGGAGAGGGAGGGGGTGTTTAGTTTAAATAGAGATAATTATCCGTAATCACACTCTCTGCTAAGCACAAGTCTTCTTCAATGCGGAGGGAGGTAGTAATAAAAATGAAAGAGGTTCAGCTTACTCTTCCTGCTAATCACAGGCAGGAATTTGCAGAGAACAAGAAAACATCAGAAAGCACAGAAAGGACTTTTGTATTCAAATCGTTCACGCAGAGAGGAAATTCACATGCTGAGACAGAGAGAGAGAGAGAGAGAGAGAGAGAGAGAGAGAGATAGAGAGAGACGGCGCGGCCACTGTAGCCTACGTATGATAAATAAGATGCCGTTGGACCAATAATGTAGGGAATAAAATCCTCATGTGCTTAGAGTTCACCTCGGTTTTTCAAAGGCAGTGAAAACCACAGTCTTTCATCACGACCATTTGTTTTCTACCCCTTCCTGGGTCCAGGCTTGCCTTGTTCGCCTTAACACAGGCCAAACACTTGTTTACCTCAATTAGTTTGGTCATGACACAATGACTGTCATACAGAAGGAGTTACAATATAGTCTGTCTGGACTAGACACGCCATACATTGTTTTTAAAGAAAAGTTGGGGTCTTGTTTCTTTCATATAGGGAAACCTAAGCTAACATAAACATTGGTCGTTGCCTAACAGTGAGCCATATCAAACATATCAAACTCACTCCTGTCTAATTGAAAACCAATTCCTGGCTCGTAAATAATCCCACTAGGCCTTTGGTCAGAATCATTTTGGGGGATTTGAGGATTCCACCCCCCTACCCAAAACCTTTTTTTTTCCTGGCATGTCTAAGTTTTGATGTCAGAGCATGTCGGATTGAAGTTTGCCGTTTCAGCGGGGAAGCTGGGTGGGTGGAATCAGGAATTTGGCACATCAGTCAAATGTCAACGCTTCCACCCTCTGCTTTCTCCCCGACGATACGTTGAAAAAGAAACAACGGAGTGCCGAAATGGTGGAGCGCTTTAGGTCTAATACTCTCTCTCTCCGACTCCACGTTTACATCGCATCAAACCGCAGAGGGACCGTGAGAATTCAAAACACAGTTGTGGCCAAAAAAAAGAAACATGACTATTGTTCCCCTCATCAGCTGCCTGTCTATTATGTAAAGGTTATTCAGCTGTCAATCAAACAGTGGGATGTGGGTTGGCCAAACAAGTCCACTGGATTATATAAAGAGACAAGAGGGCACAGAAGGAAAACACCAAGTGTGTGAAAAGTCAAGGAAAGAGCAAAGGACAAAAACACTTCTTAAAAAGTTAGGCTTTAAGGAGTGAATCTTTAAGAACTTCCACTTAAGTAGAATATTCATTTTGTCCCATTGACATCAATGCGCAAAATTCCACTGGAAGTTAGGATCACCCCTAACTGATATTGCATAGTTTATATCATCAAGGATTAGGGTTGCAAAGGGAGACAATATTACTGGAAACTTTTTAAGTTTACCAGTAAACTACCAGAATATTTTATCAGATTATAAAAAAGTGGCCTTTTTGGGTACTTCAGATTATCACAGGTGTCTGTAATTATCTCTGTGCGGCCTTATTACGTCCCGAGTGGCGCAGCGCTCTAAGGCACTGCATCGCAGTGTTGTGGCGTCACTACAGCCTGGGGTTCAATGACCAGGAGTCCCATAGGGCGGGCGCACAATTGGCCCAGAGGACGCATGACTCGACCTTCGCCTCTCCCGAGCCCGTTGGGGAGTTGCAGTGATGAGACAAGATCGTAATTGAATCGCAATTGAATATCACAAAAAAGGGGGTAAAAAAAAAAAAAAAAAAACATATGTATAAAATAAGAATATAAAAAAAAAAAAATAGAATGACAAAGATGTAAATCATTATCCTAAATATAACCAATCAATTTAGTGAATAGCATTGGAGTTTAATATTAGGGTTTCAGCATGAAATATAAATTTAAATACATTACACACTATTATACTATGTCAATATGTCTTTGTTGTAAATGTTTTGGCGCCAAACTGGTGGCAGCTGTGAAAAAAGCAAATAGTTGGAAGAGTTGCAGAGTTAATTGAAAATAATGCCAATGTTGATTAGATGCTTTTTAGGCTATTTTCTCTTAAACCATATGGTCTTCCCACTAGAAACACATGGACAATATGGACACAGATATAAAAATGTTATACTATATATAAATACATTTTATTCAAGTATAAATTACTAAATGACCATAGATTGACATAGATTACCTGTTAATCACCAAAATTACTGAAGATTCCGCTAACTTTGTTAAATTACCTGTAGCTTTGCAACCCTATCAGGGATTAGTTTATATAAGCCGGCAAATACTTTCAGGGTTACTTAATTTGAGAAGTGATATGGAGAGAGTCTTTTAAGTCATATAAGTCGATTTTTTATACCTTGCCAAATCGTGTGGAGAAGCTCCCTGTGAGCAAAGAGTGGAAAATGATGATGGTCTCATCAAGGTCCCACACAAACACACGCTGGAAAATAAGACAAAGACATACACATATTTAGCCAAATAGCCAAATAACACAATATCTCAATTGAAGAGAAAATGACAGTGCGGGCTACACATACAAACTGATCAATCAGTAGAAACATTCGTTGGAAAATGTTTTTGTAATACTGATGACATGAATGACTGAGGTCTGTAAATGACACTACTGATGATTTCTTTACAGTTATGAAAGTGCAACTTCACTTTAAACAATCTGTCCAGTAACCTTTGTTCTTCCTGTTTAATAACAGTCTGTGGTCTGTTGTGTGCCTATATGTCTATACTGTCTGTGGTCATATTGTAGGTCAGTGTCTCAATGGCTACCATTGACGGGATGTGTGTGTGTGTGTGTGTGCATGTGTGTGTGTGTGTGTGTTTGTGACTTCCATGGACTGTAACATTACCTCTATATCTGAGTCCAGGGGGGGCTGTGGGTCACTGACTCTTTTCCTGCCCCTCAGTTTCCCGTCTGAGCTCCGTCTGGCTGGCACCCCCTCCGGCTCTTTCCCTGGGGTGGGGGGGCTAGGGGGCGGATGGTACTCTCCTGGAACACACACACACACATCCCGTCAATGAAAATGTCTAAAACAGCAAAGAACACGACAGAAAGATAAATACAATGTTAAGAGGATAATAAATCATTCTCCAATAAAGGGAAGAGGCAGGCCAACCATCTGTACCTGTGTGGGACTCAGGGCTGTGATTGGGCACCACAGCGGGGTGTTCTGGATGCTGATAGGGTATGGGCGTGGTGATGGCGCTAGGGCTGATGTTGCTGCTTGCGAGGTACGGGCTGTTGTAGTGTGTGTTGTAGTATGGCGAGTACTGGCTTTGGCTGTAGCTGGAGTACGCTGAGAAGTCCTGACAGAGGGAATAGGATAAATATTATATCATAAGATATATGAGTGGAAAATAAACCGAATATTACAAATGATCACATATTGGGCTTCACCCTTTCTTCACAGTTTATTTAAAAAAATTTTTTTTTACAATGTCATGAAGGAGGCTATTGCTGAAGGCAAATGAGTGGCACATTCAATTGTAAGTTGCAGTATTCCAAACCCATTTAATGCCATCCCAGCAATTTTGACACTTTTTGCAATGCGAGAGCTGTTTTCATTTGTATAAAAGATGTTGTCCATAATGGTGTGTTACATCCTGTGCTGACCTGTTGTGTGGGGTTGAATGGAGTTGAGCCTGTGATGGGGTTGGCTCCCTGGAAAATCCCAGAAGAAATACTGCTACCTGGAAAACAACATTAAACCAACATTAAAAACAGACTCACATTGACTGACATTTACAGAAGTTGGACTTGCATTGAAAGCTCCATTGAAAACATATTTTCATTGGTATTGTAATCCTTGAAAGACATTTCTATAATGAATGGGAAAAAAACAGGCAAATTCAAAAATGCAAGGCAGTTAAACGTAACTCAACAGAAATTGCACACCCATCGTACAAGTATATCAGTCAATTACCCCTCATTATAGGGCATAACTATGCATTTGTAACTATGTGTACTAAGTGGATCGTGAGACAGCATTAGCCCTAGAGTTGCAAAATTCTGGTAACCTTCTGGTAAAATTCCCAGGTTTTCCAGAAATCCTAGTTGGAAGATTTGCAGAATAAGAACGGAATAAGTGGGAAACAACACTGTGTCATCGACTCGACACTAACCACAGAAGTAGCTTCACAACATGGCCTCAAAACATTGACTTGCCTCAACCCCTCCAGGGAGTATGGCGCTTGATTTATGAGTCCCAACAACAACAATGCAGTTGGGGGAAGCCTGGTGTGCTTGCTAGCTACTCCATCAGTGTTATCAACTCTGCTGAAGGAATGCCTTCCTCCGGGCTCTTTACCCCAGCCACACTCGTTTGTTACCCCTCAACATCCCTCCTTCCCTCCATCCCACCACCCCAAGACCTAACCATAGATTAATGACTACGCAGAACCAGCCGGGAGTCTCCCAGGACAACAAAACATAGTCTTCAAAGCAACAACCCAAAGAAACTAGAAGGTCTCCAAATAAACAGTGTAGTTTCTGGTTCTGATTTGGTTTGTCCTTTGTAGTGTGTGTATGTGTGTGTGTGTGTGTGTGTGTGTGTGTGTGTGTGTGTGTGTGTGTGTGTGTGTGTGTGTGTGTGTGTGTGTGCGTGCGTGCGTGCGTGCGTGCGTGCGTGCGTGCGTGCGTGCGTGCGTGCGTGCGTGCGTGCGTGCGTGCGTGCGTGTATGTGTATGTGTATGTGTATGTGTCTGGGAGGAAAGGTCTGGTGGTCTTGTACATGGAGTTGCCATGGGAGTTTGTTTCAAGCCACTCTAGGTTTTGTTTACCTGTATTGTAACACATGAAAGAAAGCAGAGTCGTCCCATGCATTCCATTGAAAACTCATCAACTGTCATGGTTTCAGACAGTTAGAATACCAGTATTTCAGTCTTACTTTCTGACAACAACGGTAGCTGGCTGAAGTTGGAACAGACTGACATTTCGTCCAAGCTTAGACAAATGAATCTACTACAAAATACAGACCAAGACACATATAAATATAACAAATATACAAAACTCTCTTTGAAGATCAACGTGGATTCTATAAACCTGCTTTGCTATAGGGCCATATTCTCATCTCTCAAGTTTTCATTACATTTACATTTACATTTACGTCATTTAGCAGACGCTCTTATCCAGAGCGACTTACAAATTGGTGCATTCACCCTATATCATGTGTGTTCATCTTGTGTTCATCTTGCGTCTCCTCTTTTGGGTCGTATTCATTAGGATCAAACAGAAGAAAACGGAACTTGTCCAATAAGAAACGCTCATTTCCGTTTTCCATTGCTACTCATGAACACGACTCTGTTAACAGTGGCCCTACATTTCACTGTCAGTAAGTCCATGCAGTTCCTCCATTAGCCTCCCCTCCCAGCACCACAACATGCACCTTAACCTCTAGCCTCTAACAGAGCAAGGTCAATTTCACGCTGCTTTGAAAGCCATCAAGTCCTACTGAGCCAAGCATGCTTTGGGTGCCGAAGAACTGGGGAATGTGTGGAGCACAGACACACACACGGAACACACGGACGCACACATGCAGACACACACACACACAAATACACACGCACCCGACACACACACACACTTTCTTTCACTCTCTCTCTTACACACAAACACACACACACACATAAGAGCGTGCTGGTCCGGGCCGGGCCGTGTGGTGTGGGTGTGTGAGGAGGAAGGGGGCCTGACCCCCAGAGAGGAGAGAGAGAGAAGGGGAGAGAGATGGCTGACGCCAGGCACCCAGACCGCAGCTAATGGAGAACAGGTGTGGAGGAGGACAGACGGGCACTGCTACGGACACCCACCTGGAAACGCCAGGACCCCACTCACTGGGCTCGTAGTCAGAGGGGCAGATCATGACGGAGAGATCAGAGAGAAAGAAAGAGAGAGGGAGGGAGGTAGGAGAAAGGACTGGCCATAGAAAAAAGGATAGATCTCAGCAAAAGAGATAAGAGGGAAAGGGAGTGCGTGTGTGAGAGTGAGAGAGAGAGACAGAGAGAGAGAGAGAAATGGAGGTAGAGAGACAGACTCACAGTAAGGAGGGTAGGATGGCTAGCCATCTGTAAAGCAGAGAAGAGATCAGAGAGAAATGCACAACGAGAGGTGGAGTACTGACCGTGTATGTGTGTGTATTTGGGTGTTTGTGTGCCAGCATGTGTGCATGCATCCGTGTGCATGCAATCCTCTGTGTGTGCGTCTGTATGCATCAAGATCTCATAGTTTCCATTTGAAACTTGAAGTATGAATGTCTATTTTTGACCCATTCATTCTGCGTGGTTACAGGGTTAAAACAGAAACAATTCAAAGGTCAACAGTTTAGGGATTAATTCAGAGTGGTTAAGGTTAGGGCTATGGTTTGGGGAGGCTCTGCAAACCATCCAACCTCATACCATCAAGTATCATCAAGTATTCTCATGGCTTGCTAGAGCCTAAATGACTCTCAGACCATGAGAAACAAGATTCTCTGGTCTGATGAAACCAAGATTGAACTGGGAGAGTAGTCAGGATCGAGGGAAAGGTGAACGGAGCAAAGTACAGAGAGATCCTTGATGAAAACCTGCTCCAGAGCGCTCAGGACCTCAGACTGGAGCGAAGGTTCACCTTCCAACAGGACAACGACCCTAAGCACACAGCCAAGACAATGCAGGAGTGGCTTCGGGACAAGTCTCTGAATGTCCTTGAGTTGCCCAGCCAGAGCCCGGACTTGAACCCAATCTCTGAAGATACCTGAAAATTGCTGTGCAGCGATGCTCCCCATTCTTACCTGACAGAGCTTGAGAGAGTCTGCAGAGAAGAATAGGAGAAACTCCCCAAATACAGGTGTGCCAAACTTGTAGCGTCATACCCAAGAAGACTGTAGCTCAATTGGTAGAGCATGGCGCTTGTAACGCCGGGGTAGTGGGTTCGATCCCCGGGACCACCCATACGTAAAAATGTATGCACACATGACTGTAAGTCGCTTTGGATAAAAGCGTCTGCTAAATGGCCTATTATATTATAAGACTCGTGGCTGTAATCGCTGCCAAAGGTGCTTCAACAAAGTACTGAGTAAAGGGTCTGAATACTTATGTAAATGTCATATTTCTGTTTTTTTTTAAACATACATTTGCAAAAAAAAATACAAACTTGTTTTTGCTTTGTCATTATGGGGTATTGTGTGTAGATTGATGAGGGAAAAATAACAATTTAATCCATTTTAGAATAAGGCTGTAACGTAACAAAATGTGGAAAAAGTCAAGGGGTCTGACGGCTTTCCGAATACACTGCTCATTCCCCTCCCTCATATCGCAATTTGTGCCACCCATAAGTGAGAAACCTACATGCCAAGTATAGACCGTATATTGTGTTCCCTACAGGTTATAGAAAAGATCAGAAGGTCCCCAGTCCTACCTACCTACCTACCTACCTACCTACCTACCTACCTACCTACCTACCTACCTACCTACCTACAGGTTATGGAACATTTGCTCTATCAGTATTTCTCCAGTAGGTTTCCTGAAGGAGAAAGCCTCCACTTCGATGTCAAATAAAATAAAACCAGAACACTACAGTAAAGTCTGCAAAAACACTTCAGTGAATACTATAGTATTTATACCATAGTATACTATAGTATTTTTTTATGTGGGCATATAGTAAGCATAAACACTTATTGAAGCCATGCAAGTAGCCTAAAGGATGTTTTCTATTGGGGACTTTATGTTGAGGACATACGGTAGGCTGCTAGTGTTGTGATGACTGGTCTAATGTAACCTATGAATGAAGCCAGCGAGTTTATATGTCACACATGCATATCTTATATTTTTGCATCTCAGCTCATTTGCTCTTCTCTTTCTCGGCATATCCTCTCACCAGTTGTGATATGTTCAAGGGATTCTTGGGGAGGGTAGGCTATGGCCATCCTTTTTTAGCGCTGATCTGATGTTTCCTGTAGGCCTACTTCTGTTTGCAATGGCATGGTAGGAGAGCCTGTAGGACGCAGCGAGTAAATACGGTAGGCTACAACAGCACACACCCTCCCACTGAGCGTTGATCATGCAGATAGCAAAGCAGAGAAGGCCGTAGAGAAGTCACATTTAGACATTGCATATCATTTAACAGTTCCATTTCCCAGGCTGTTCATATTACTGGTTTCTCGCCATTATTTATCTCGGGAAACAAGAATGGGTTTGGGCAGGATATCCCGGTAAATCTCGGTAATCCGGTTCCCGATATTTAGCCCTAGTATGTGTGTGTGACTGACCGTGTGTGGGGTAGCTGTAGAGGCCCTGGCTGGGGGGAGTACTGCTGAAGTTGGAGTAGCTCAGCAGACTGTTCTGTCCTGCAGAGTCTTCTGTCTTAATGTCTGTAGATGAAAGGACATAAGGAGATAAATGATCCACACTGGATTCAGTTACTGAAACTGGTTACACTGTATTTTACAGAGGGGCATGCTGTAAAACTGGGTGTGTTGTAAATTGCGGGCCGCATTAAATCGGCTTGCGAGCCGCATTTGGCCTGCGGGCCTGTAGTTTGAGACCCTGGTGTATATGGATGTGGAGTTGTCTTAGATGCCATACTTTCCAGACAACTTTTAAACAGTCATATCCCCCCCTCTTCACCCCCCGTATTGAATTATATGACGGTACTTACTGTATGAGGGCATGCTGTAGCCCTGGGTGTGGTATGTGTACGGTGTGTAGGGTCCCGCAGGCTGGAGGGCAGGGCTGTACTGGGTCTGTCCATACGCCGCCATGACAGCTCAGGTCAGCTGATCTGGAAGGAGGAATTAAAGACTGGTAAGTTGCTAAGCAACATGGGGACTATATGTATTGTCCAAATTGCCATGTTGGCTGCTTAGCCTATGCTATGCTGTGCTATGCTAAGCTATGACTAAGAATTGTCACACGTCAGATGGCGTCACTCCTCCAGGACGCTCATCCCTCAACCGATCTGTGTTGTAGGACCTGGAACTCATATTGACATTTTAATATTGACCAACTGCCATTCAAAAAAGTAAAACATAGTTCCAAATTTCACAATACTACTGCACTCTCTTATGACTCTCCATGAAATAGAAAAAATAACTAGCAAGCTAAATTATTACAAACGCTGTGGCAGTGAATTAATAGTTTGCATTTGAAAATAAAAACAAACCGGTGGCGATCTGCTGCACAAATGCTGTGCAAGGACGTTGGTCGTCAGTGCAGTGACTTGATCAGCTGTGTAGCTAACTGTTGTAGCTAGCTACTTTACTGACATAGTTAGCTAGCTAGTTAGCTAGCTCTTCCTTCACTGACATAAAAAGCTTGCTTAGCCTGTTTAAATTACCCTGAAGTTGTAGACATGTAGCCCCACAATTAAGAGGGACTGACTGTTATCAGAAATCAGTCCATAGATGAGCATGTTTCTCCACGATCGTATCATTGGGTCAGCTGAGCACAGTCAACAGCTGACTCGGGAGGCTACTGCAATGACTCGTGGCAGAAGAACAGCTGCCTCATGAAAACTCATAATATTGTAAGCATTAGCACTACTAGCTACAATAGCTTGCTAGCTAGCTTTTGTTGGAAGATTCAACATTGTGTGTGCAGCACTAAGTAGGTAGCTGGTTGGTTAGCAGCATCGTTTCAGTCAAAGATGATTTAAGTGACTGGCTCAGCTAAAGTTTGGACAAATTATGCTAGCTTTCGTGCCATAGTCAAACTTCAGAAATACTGCTCATTGAAGCACAATCATCCTTAGCTATATGTAAAATGGAGCGACTAAGACTTCCTCAACAAAAAAACATCAACATTATTGACATATTTATTGTTTTAGCTTAGATTAATTCAGACAGATTTGAGGCAGAAACGGGGTTCAGCAGATGATGTCCCCTTGGTAATATTTTCAAATGTTAGACAGCACATTGTAGCAGAACTACTTTTGAGCTATCCTATTACCCTTTGCGAGATACAAGACAGATCAGTGCAGGCGAAATCAACGTGCTATCTGACGTAAAACAATGATGACTAAAATCTCAACAACACTCACTTGCAGATGAAGGAAGAGTCTGATATGGAGTCTTAGATGCCCTAGAGGGGAAAACACAAGAAAGAAACAGAGAAACATATAAATACCAATAAAAAATAATATTAATTGAGTAATGAAAAGGGCAATAAATAACTTCAGATATGATTTCACAGTGATAAAAGGCTTTATACGATTCCAATTTCAACACTTAACCATAATGCCATAGAATGACATTTGATAAAACTAGTCTGATTCCACTGGGTAAGTTTCGTAAAAGCTGCTGAAAATACAGTGTCTTCAGAAAGTATTCACACCCCTTGACTTTTTCCAAATTTTGTTTTGTTACAGCCTTAATAAAAATTAAAAAATTAATTCAGATGTTGTGTCACTGGCCTACACACAATACCCCACAATGTCAAAGTGGAATTATGTTTTTAGAATGTTTTACTAATTAATAAAAAATAAAAAAGATGAAATGTCTTGAGTCAATAAGTATTCAACCCCTTTGTTATGGCAAGCCTAAATAAGTTCAAGAGTAAATGAAAATGTGCTTAACAAGTCACACCCCTGAGTCAATACAGTGCATTGCAAAAGTATTCATCCCCCTTGGCATTTTTCCTATTTTGTTGCATTACAACCTGTAATTTAAATGGATTTTTATTTGGATTTCATGTAATGGACATACACAAAATAGTCCAAATTGGTGAAGTGAAATGAAAAAAATTACTTACTTCAAAATATTCTACAAAATAAATAATGGAAAAGTGGTGCGTGCACATGTATTCACCCCCTTTGCTATGAAGCCCCTAAATAAGATCTGGTGCAACCAATTACCTTCAGAAGTCACATAATTAGTTAAATAAAGTCCACCTGTGTGCAATCTAAGTGTCACATGATCTGTCACATGATCTCAGTATATATACACCTGTTCTGAAAGGCCCCAGAGTCTGCAACACCACTAAGCAAGGGGCACCATGAAGAACAAGGACCTCTCCAAACAGGTCAGGGATAAAGTTGAACATCCCACGGAGCACCATTAAATCCATTATTAACAAATTTAAAGAATATGGCACCACAACAAACCTGCCAAGAGAGGGCCGCCCACCAAAACTCACAGACCAGGCAAGGAGGAGATTAATCAGCGAGGCAACAAAAATACCAAAGATAACCCTGAAGGAGCTGCAAAGCTCCACAGCGGAGATTGGAGTATCTGTCCATAGGACCACTTTAAGCCGTACACTCCACAGAGCTGGGCTTTACGGAAGAGTGGCCAGAAAAAAGCCATTGCTTAAAGAAAAAAATAAGCTAACACGTTTGGTGTTTGCCTAAAGCCATGTGGTAGACTCCCCAAACATATGGAAGAAGGTACTCTGGTCAGATGAGACTGAAATTGAGCTTTTTGGCCATCAAGGAAAACGCTATGTCTGGCGGAAACCCAACACCTCTCATCATCCCGAGAATACCATCCTCGTGATGTTTTTCATCGGCAGGGACTGGGAAACTGGTCAGAATTGAAGGAATGATGGATGGGGCTAAATACAGGGAAATTCTTGAGGGAAACCTGTTTCAGTCTTCCAGAGATTTGAGACTGGGACGGAGGTTCACCGTCCAGCAGGACAATGACCCTAAGCATACTGCTAAAGCAACACTTGAGTGGTTTAAGGGGAAACATTTAAATGTCTTCAAATGGCCCAGTCAAAGCCCAGACCTCAATCCAATTGAGAATCTGTGGTATGACTTAAAGATTGCTGTACACCAGCGGAACCCATCCAACTTGAAGGAGCTGGAGCAGTTTTACCTTGAAGAATGGGCAAAAATCCCAGTGGCTAGATGTGCCAAGCTTATAGAGACATACCCCAAGAGACTTGCAGCTGTAATTGCAGCAAAAGGTGGCTCTACAAAGTATTGACTTTGGGGGAGTGAATAGTTATGCACGCTCAAGTTTTCTGGTTTCACAATAAAAAATATTTTGCATCTTCAAAGTGGTAGGCATGTTGTGTAAATCAAATGATACAAACCCCCCAAAAAATCAATTTTAATTCCAGGTTGTAAGGCAACAAAATAGGAAAAATGCCAAGGGGGGTGAATACTTTCGCAAGCTACTGTACATGTTAGAATTACCTTTGGCAGCAATTACAGCTTTGAGTCTTTCTGGGTAAATCTTTAAGAGCTTTGCACACCTGGATTGTACAATATTTGCACATTACTCTTTAAAAAATTATTCAAACTCTGTCAAGTTGTGATTTTGAAATATTTCTGTATTTCATTTTCAATAAATGTGCCAATAATTCTAAAAACATGTCATTATCGGGTATTGTGTGTAGATGGGTGAGAATTATCATGTTGAATTCAGTCTGTAACACAACAAAATGTGGAATAAGTCAAGGGGTATGAATACTTTCTGAAGGCACTGTATATTTTGCAAATGTTTGTACTACTTACTTGACTCTGTGGAGAGCGTGTTTTCTTCCCTGGCAAGGCTCAGTCACTCAAGGTCCTCGCCGTCAGCTTTCCTGTGGAAACAATATTGAATAAGCATTAGAAGTATGTGGGTGACTGACACATAGCAACATGCCTCGGGCACTGACTTACTTAAAAATTGGAACAGAACACAAATTTGTGCCAAAAGAGCAGGGGGATAATTATCGTACTCGGAAAGTTCACAAAGTGATTTAGGTTTAGGAAAGAATTGAGTTTTTGACAGAGAAAAAGAGACTGACAGCCCGACAGACAGACAGGCAGACATGCTACAAGTCGGATAGAGCCGACGAGGTTTACACAGTATAAGAATGCACCATTAAGGATGCCACTGACAGACAACAGTGAGATTACACAAGTTTTTTCTTCCTCGTCAGTCAAAATGGCTGTTTGTTAGTAAGAGCTTGACGGATGACATAGTTTCCTGGGAAAGCACAGAAGAATGCCCCACTTCTCTGCTTCTCTCACTGTCTCAACACCTTTCCGTACGGAGGTGTCACATCAAAATGACTGTGGAGAAGTAAACTAGGTCAAGTTAACTGCATAATCACACAGAGCAGAGTTGTATGTAAAGCACCTACTTAGAATGACCTAGAAGCACATGTAATCTAAGTAAACTCAGGCATACCGTAACATTGATGTTGTACAGTAGTGTGAAATACCAATATATACAAAGTCCCAATATATCCCAATTCAGTTTAGCATAATGAAGCACTGCAATTATTGCATTACCTTAATATATAGCTATCCTAATATATGCAATAAACAAATAACAATAAACAAGCATTAAAATGGCCTACAATAGATAAGGATGGGAGAGTGTGTGAGAGAGAAAATGATAGACAGAGAAAGAGAGAGAGCAGAGTGAGAGGGGGCAGGAGAGAGAGAGAGAGAGAGAGAGAGAGAGGGAGGGAGGAAGTCAAAAGGTCAGTGGGGCAGGGGTCACAGGGTCAAAGCCAACATTTGTCATTCCAAACACAGGAAGTTGTTCCTGGAGTCGTCCTGTCCCTACTGTTACCCCCCTAACCCCTCTTTCTCTGTCCCTCTGTCTCTGTGTCTCTGTCTCTGTCTCTCTCTCTCTCTCTCTCTCTCTCTCTCTCTCTCTCTCTCTCTCTCTCTCTCTCTCTTTTGGAAAGCCCTAAGGGGACATAACCTTCTCCAAATTATGCGCTGACTATGTGCTCTATGGGGAAATTCAGACCTGAGTTACGCGCATGTAAATATAACTTAATTCCCTTTTTATACACTTTTCTCTCTACGGGTATT